AAAGAAAATAAAAGCAGCCGAATCTTCCCTCCTTTAAATAAAAAATTTTAATTATTATTTATTTATTATATAAAATTATTAAGTCAATCTCTATCAAAAAATTAAACTCAAACAGCCAAATCTTATCCGATGAAAGTACAAAACAACAGCCAAGGTTTTTGGTCATTGAATTATAAACATTAAAAAGAAAATAAAAGCAGCCGAATCTTCCCTCCTTGAAAGTTATTTTTGTTTTAGTCAGACCCTCAACGCACCTGAAAGAAAGGATTAGGGACTGTAAAAATTTACCAAATGTACAATGTACAATCATTTGATTTCATTCGTAACAGAAATTGTATAGACGGGCTATTTGTTTATAAGAAAGTCTGCCAAACTATCATTCTACAAGATTCAACAGTTTTGCTCCATTTGTCGTTGGTGCCACTATAGCGTTCACCATCATTCATCAATGTAGGGCGGTCTCAAACCTCAATCAGGGAGCTGCAGACCACAAATTTTACATACAACACATTAGGAAAGCTACGGAAAACAGAATCCGAAAATTTTAATGTCGAAATAATTGGGATGGATCGAGAGAATTATCTGAAATTAAAAAAGGTTGCTGGCTATTGTATAGCTCAGAAACTCAATTCCCAAAAAGGGCACATTTTTACTTGGAGCTAATCTTGGTATTTGCTAGAGAGTGCATATTATGGCATGGTTCTGCAACGGAGTTGTGAATTTTTTTCTTTGTGGTTCATTGAAGGGGATTTGGCTACCCAAAAGGACATATAACATAATTATAGGAATCATCAGAACCATAGATGACACTGACCGGTTTCATCAAAATGTACTCTCTCTCCAGTGGAGAAGATGTTGTAGAAAAGTGCTGCCAGAAAGTATAGAAGTGATGTGAGCAACAGAAATCCTTGGAAGGATCCAACCAATTCAACAAAGAAACCAGCTCCAACAGTCCCCACAATCGCAGCAAGTGTTCCAGCAGTGTTTGACAATCCTAAAAACCAAAAATATAGGTAGTCACTATCAAGACAGCCAAACTGTAACTTTTCTGATTTCTAATGAGGATGATGTTAAAAAAGAATAGATTTGCAATTTTTGAGCTATTGTTAATCAATTTATTTACTGACACAGGATTCCTGTGCTTATGCTTGGGTACTTTCCTCAACAAATAAAATGTATGCCACATGATGCAAGAAATAATCCACTCAGATTAGTTCTACTTCCGGTTTATAACCACAGAATTTTTGGACAAATTCATTGGGACTATCTCACTGTGATCATGGAGTTAACTACTAAACGCATTTGGAAACTTCTAAGCAAACAATTCCAATAAAAAAACTTTTGGTACATGACAATGAGGATAGATTTTTTTTTTTTTTTTTAATGAGAATTGAGGATAGATTCTTGTACCATGTAAAACACCTGAATATTGTGGAGCAATCTCCTGGTGGCAAAACAAAGGGAAAAGTTAGAGGAAAATACCCAAAAAAAAAAAAAATCTAAATTGAATTTCAGAATAGTTTATTCAACAACCCAACCTGAAGGTTGACAAGGAACCCACTATGACTGAATGATTTCAGCCCAACAGCCAAACTAAGCCAAGCGGATGCAATAAATGGACTTTTTGCTGTAGCTAAACCAATTAGAGAGATCCCAGGACCAAGAAAACCAATAGACTGCAGAGACAGATGAGATGCTTAGTGAGCAGAAATAAAGAACAAAAGAACCAAGGGACAACTGGGAACCAAAAGGAAAATCTACTAACATATTTCTAAAGATTGCATAACTTGTTCACAAAAATCCACCTACTAATACGTGAATGCACTCTGTAATTGATTTTATATTGTTAGGAAAAAAATGAAAAAAGTAAAGCTCTTTTTTTTTTTTTGGGGGGGGGGGGGTCAAAAAGTTCTGCTTTCATGGGAACTCACTTTTTCATTGTAATGATCAACAATCTAGGTATATAAAAAACTCACTGTCAAAAATGGCTAAAGTTAACATTGCGAAGCAAAAACAAATTGACATGTATGGCTGAAAATCTAATCATAAGGGAAATATCACACCTGCATGATCTTGCGAGTCAAAGTGATACTACTACCATTCTTTATCAACAGATCTGACCACATACCAGCAAGGAATCCCATTAATGCCATCATGCTCCATGGTACAGCACTAAACCATGCTGCTTGTCTTAGGTCTACATGGTGTACCTACAACAGGAGTGCTTCTTATATGTAGCTTATATTATGACTAGCTGACATAGGTAACTGCCAGAGAAGATGTGAATATAGAGGTTATTGTTAAGTGTTAGGCCTTACTGAGTTGAAGTAAATGGGCATCCATGAAAGAATAACAAAAAAGCCCTGCACAGAATTGTCAAATAAAAAAAAAGGGAAAAAGGTGAGACTATGGGCAGAAAGCTAAAACTATGCCACTGAAGCATATGTTTAAACACAATTTTCAGATCACTAAATTAAATACATTTAATTCTCTGTCACTAGAGGCAATTTAACCTTTTAAACCACGTACAATTTCTACAAAAATTTCTATAGACCAATTAACAAGCCAATAAATCTTTCACTCTTTTGTATGGGTTAGAGTGAGGGAAGTATGGCTACATAAGTCAAAAGTGGGCAAGAAAAATTCCAAGCAGCAGGCTGTAATGCTTCTTAAGGCTACCTTGGAGACTCAGAAAGATGATTTATGGCATAGTGATTGTCAGATAGCATATTCAAGCCATTAGCATAGTTGGATCATATCAAGAAAGTTATTACCATGACACATAAGAAACCAGGGAATAGGGAATAGGCATTACCCAGCTATGCATGGCATTTGCAACAATTAGAGACCACGTTGGCATTTTAGAAAGCAATCTTCTGAATGGGGGAACCACTTTGGTTGCTTTAGGTTTTTTCTCCCCTGCAAGAGGCTTTTTCCTCTCTTTCATTATGTAGTCCAGTTCATATTTTGATATCTGGCGACTTTGGTCAGGAGTACTTGATGTTGCAGATAACCATACTAAAACCCAAAGAAATCCACAAAGACCAAATATCACAAATGGTCCAAATATACCAGCTTGCGACATGAGAATTGGGGACAGAGTGAGTCCTATTGCATTTCCAAGCTGAAATCCAGCCATTGCAATTCCAACAGCCCTGGCCCGTTCTGTCTGAGGAAACCATCTAAAAGAAAAAGTTAATACAATCTCTTCAACAGTCTAGCTTCACCATATTGTTACCATGAAAATGAACTTTTTGCAACATACATGAGTATATCATCAGTTTATGTTGATCATCAGCAAACACTAACAGTATAACCAGCAGACCATCAATACCTTGCTATCATGTTGTTCATGCAAGGAAGAGCTACACCTTCTCCCACCCCAAGCATAGCTCGTGCAAAAAGCAGTGCCCATAAAGAAGTTTCAGCCGCCCACGGTGTAAGAAATGTGGATAATGACCACAATGCCACACCCCACGCCATTACTACCTTACCACCATAATAGTCCACCAATGCTCCCCCTGCTATTGGTGAAATCAAGTATCCCCATAGAAAAGATGACTGCAACAAGTTTTCATCAACAAGTTAGAGCCTTAGAGGCACACAATAGTTAAAAGGTTACTCTTCAACAAAGGGTTGATTAGCAGTTGTTTTGAATAAGCCCCCAACCCTTCCTTTGATTACTTTACATAAACCTCTTCACTAGGACCACAATTGGTAAAAACTTCGTTACTGCATAATTCAAGAATATAACAATAAATTCATCATTTCAGTTTATTACTTTGCTAGCTGAACACATAAGCAAAAGAATCCTCAGCAAGAAAATAATTAAAAGGAAACAAAATACTAAAGATCACCTGAACAATGCCAGAAAATGATGTGCTCCACCCGTGAGCGAGCGACAAAGGCACAATCGCCACCGACATCACAACTCTATCCGCGTTGCAGAGCGCCAGAGCCAAAGCGAGCATAGCCACCACTTTGATTCGCTCCGACGTGATAAATTCGGCGAAACTCGGAGACTGAGTCCCGCGTTGGTCCGGAATCGAACCAAACTGAGCACCGTTCGAGGAAACTCCAAATGGAGGACACATAAACAAAAGCTTCTCCACCTCATTCCGGCGACGTCGAAGTTGAATTCTCAACAAGCTACTAGAAGAGGCATTCTTCAAGAACTTACGCTGCGAGAAATCGTGGAAATGGGAAGAAATTTGAAGCTTACATGCATTAATTCCGATGATTTTACGGTTTTCAGAGAACGGAAGCGCAAGACCGCGTATCGGCCGATTGAAACCCAGCGAAGAGTTCAGCATATCCTTTACTATGGAGAAAATTGAGAAATACGCAGCCGCCAGGTCTAATACCGTTGGTGTTGGTGAAATGTCTAAAACAGCCCCTCCTCTCGGGGTGTAACAAGAAGTTTATTGTGTAAAATTTCTTAAATTGTAGGGATAAATTTAAAAATTCCGAGGGTCATATCCTTCTTTTTACTGGAAAAAAATTGCATTTTTCGTTCTTGAAGAGGACGGGGATAATGTGACAGATTTGAATAATTTGATTGTGGTTTCATGTTCTACCAAATGATTCCAGAACGATATCAAGAAGCAAAAACGGGTAACCCATCAATTCATTTGACGAAATTTCTTACCTTTCTGAGATTTTTTCAGGGAGGTTGTTGCTTTTGCATTTGATTTGAGAATTGCTTCCAGATGTTCGATGAAATGCTTGAATGAATTTCAGGTTTCAAGTTGCTGAACTCAGTAACTGTACAGAAGTATCTGAAGAAGGTGGGACTGGGGAAAGAAGATTATGACTTCTGGAAACAAGTTGGTAAGGCTTTGCTATGCACCTACACTATCTTTGGCATAGCGTGGGTGTACAATGAAGCATCACCGCTAGGGTGGTGGACGTTGAAACCAAAGCCGAAGGAGGAGAGAGAGCTAGCCCATCTTTATGAGCGGCGAGAATTCGCATACCCGGGTGATGCGGAAGCAATGGAGGAGTTTGTTGCTGAGGGGGGTAGGATTGGCACTACCATTGGCCCAAAAGGAATCCTTGAGATTGATAAGGATGCTTTTAATTATCAGAAGGAGTTGGAGAACAAGAAGCTTGAGCAGGAAGCACTGAAGCTGTGGCTCAGGATGAGAAACGAGGTCATTGCAGAGCTTCAAGAGAAAGGGTATGATGTTGAGTGAGTGAATGTGTTCTGTTATATAGTTAAATCGTGAATTGCTTAATGTAAGAACTAAGCTTTTGTATGGATATCTTTGTGCTTTTTGGCACAAATTCAGCTATTTGGTTGAGCCACGTTATGACTTTAGTGCTTAACATATTAATGCTATGTACGATTTTGTTTACCTAGAAAATTTGTGCATCCTACTTCTTTTACAACTGAATGCGCTGTTCCTTGTTTCTTTACTTTGATCTTCACCTTTTGTGCAGAACGCTTCTCTTGGAGAGTTTTCGTAGGTAACAATTTCTCTGGTAGATAGGTTTTCTATAAATGAAGCTAATAGAACTTTGAAACCTAATCAAATGTGTATCGTGATGGAAAAACTTGTGTAAGATCATGCCATCCTAGTGTGACCTAGGTGGTTTCATTTGTGTCACTGCAACAATTCTCATCAGTAAAACGAAAGTAGGAGAACAATAATGCAAAATTTTCAATAGCCACTTTATTAGAAAAACCTTCTTAGCATAAGAGAGATGGTCATCTGATGTGGTGGTATTTATCTATAGAACGAGGGATACGTTCATACATGTTTTTACAACATTCATAACAAATGCTTAGAGCCATTACAGTACATTCACACCTGCAGATTGTGTGCTTTTAAGCATGCCTTTTCCAGATTTGCTTCTTCTATAGCTCCTCAGTGGTGTCAAGTAGAACCGCAACAGGCCATTATCAAGATTATTAGGAGAATACCTGACACTACGATTCTGCTGTGAGACAACATTCTCCCTTCTCTTCTCGCTGTCATCTTTGGTCTCACCACTAGTTCCATGAAATGCTCTCTCCACCTTGGAGGAATTCCTGCAGCTAACGCTATAGCTCCGCATAAGCTTTTGGCCAACAACAGCACTACTTGCATCTCCATTTGCCACCCTCCTCAGCTTCTGCAAAGACTCTGCTAGAGCCCCATCACAGACCTTTCCTTCGTTATCTCTATCTTCATCTGCATTTGACACCCTCCTCAACTTTTGCAAAGATTCACCCAGTGTCTCATCAGCTAACTTTCCTTCAATGTCTCGTTCTTCTTCTGCATTGGACGCCCTCCTGAGCTTCTGCAGAGACTCTATTAGCTTCTCACTGCACAAATTTCCTTCTACACTTTTGCCTTTGTTTCCATTGGCCGTCCTACTCGTCAGCCTCAGCCTTTGCAAAGATTCTACGAGAGACCCATTGCCAACATTCCCTCCCATACTCCTATTATCATCTTCAAATACACTCTCCTTTTGCCTCTGTATCAAACCCCAAATGTTCAATAAATTTTTCCATTTGGGCAACTTCTTCGGGTCATACCCTTTCTGACTTACCCCAGAAGCAACAAATTCAACATCCTTGGGAGCAGATTCCACACTCTGTGTTTGATAATCTTTGAAAGAATACCAATTGGAATCCCTCAACTCCTTCTCTGTAACCAACAGCTTTGCCCCCTGGAACAATCCAACAGTTTCCGGCGACACCTTTGCATTTGATATTGATGATTTCAAATCATCAGCCTCCCCTAAGCTCATCCTCCCGTTCAACCCAGCACAATCAAAACTCCTCCTTCTATGTGAACTCACAGAATATGCATAGTAATCTCTAGTTTGAGCTGATCCACCCGGACTCTTCTCCTCTTCACTTACCACACTCAATCTCTCTTCACCAGCTGCATTCACACCCAGTCTCGGATTCTGTTTCCCAATCAGATATCCATCCCAAGAGGCCCTTGGTTCCTCAAAAGAAAACCCTGAATCCTCTACAGATAAACGCCCAATATCAACTGACAATCTTGGATCGGTATCGCAAGATCTCCTCCCAAGTCCGTATTCCCTCACCTCCGACTGGTTTTCTCTTAAGCTTCTGACATTTGGCGGTTCAACTAGCCCCAAGCTAGCATGGTTCTCCTTCTTCTTCTCCTGTTTCCGCCTCCATTTCCTCAATTTCTTACTGAAAACCGAAGCCGTATCCCAGAAAGACTTCCTTGAACTTTTCTTGCCATTCCATTCGAGATCTATGAACTCCTTCATGGTCCTGAACTCACCCTCTTCTTCAAGGCCTTGCAAAACTGTAATGTCTAGCACATTCGAAGGTGGAGGATTTGGATTCGTGTTTTTTATTCTGTCATCAACGGCGAAGAGGTCGTGGAGAGTACTGCGAGCCCTAGCGTCGCAAGATTTACGGCGGGGCTCGGATGCAGAGGAGGAAGACGGATTGTGGCCCCCGCAGAAAGATTTGGAGCGGCGGAGCTGGGCGGCGGCGGCGGTGCTGGTGCTGGTAGAGGCTTCGCTGGTTGGAGACTGGGATTGGATGCCGGCGAGGCGTTCGCGAAGACATGATGCGCACAACCCGGTGACGGGAGTAGCGGCAGGATGGCGGTGACAGGAGGAGATGCGGTGGTGGCGATGGTGGCTGTGGTGGGGCTGGAAAGTCATAGCTGCGGCAGTGGAGTAGTCACAGACCTCATGCTCTGAAGAGATAGAATAAACTGTTCCACCGAACTGGGTACTGAGATTTAAGACGAGCAGTTAGAGAACGAGAAAACCTGAATGAAAGTCAATAAACCCTTCCGTTTGGAGGGTTTATGAGTTTTATTCCAGTAATAATTTGATTTTAGAGAAGTGAAGTGCACACACGGCCTTCGATGCTATATATTGCTTGGAGCCACTTCTCAATTGGGATGTGATTGTGGTCAACTATGAAAATATACAGCCCACGCAAATGACATAATGTTATTTTTAAAAATATTAATTTCATTTAATTTAACACTTGATGAATGATACTTATATTAAAATTAATTTTTATAAATTAATAAAATATTAATTAAACTAAAAATAAAAATTTATGTAACTTAATATTTTTATTTGTCCATAACTTTCATTCCTTTTTTTTTTTTTAAACAGTTATAATTTAAGATATAATATTAAAACAATATTATTATAAAGAAAGAATGCTTATTAATTTTAGCTTTTAAAAAAGTTAGAGTTTTAACAATAAATTATGTTATTTTATTAATTAAAATTTAATTTAAAAATTTAAAATTTATCTTATTAAATATTAATATTTAAATTTCAAAATTTGATTATATTTTTAAATTTTAAATTAAAATTTTAATTTTTAAATATATGTTAAAATTTTAATTTTTTTAAAATTTAAAATCGATACACATTAATCTCTTATTATAATTTAAATTTTAATATCAATTTAAATATTAAGTACACCAACTAACTAGTTTAATAGCATGGTGCATCCTTGCATAACCACACAACTCTATCATTGATTAATTGTTAGTAGTTCATGACCGAACAAACTGTAAACTAGCATTTTCATTAGATTTACGTAATATATAAATGATTTATGACTTTCTTCATCAGTGTTGTACTCTGTGTTATTGTAGTTTTAAATATTTTTAATCTTTTGCTATAAAAAATTATATTAAAATTAGTTGAAAATAATTGAAAATATCTTCAGCTGGATCAAAGGAAGGCTTGGAATTCCATTGTTGTCTTCAGCAACTGAAGCCTCTTTCCTTGTCTGTGTGACTCGGGAGATTGATCTCTTTTCTTAATTAGTGTTTTATTTGTTTACTGAATACAGTCTTTCCTTTCTTTTTTTTTGGGTATGTAGTTATCATTTATAAAGTAATTCTCCACTTACACTAACAATATACTGGTCCGAGTAGAAGGAATTTGATTTTTTTTAAACAAGATCTCGAATTCGAGTCTTATGAATGAAAAAATAAGTGTTGAGAGAGCTTCTCCCCTGTATAGGGTCCAACCCAGCTCAATTACAGATTAATCAAAATTCAATGTAATTTTTGAATATCGAAATGTTAGTACAACAAAAAAAAATTCTCCACTTACTCCTATGTAAAATTAGGTTAGAATATCTCTTGTGTTCTTAATAAAATTTACTTGATTTATTAAAAAAATAATTAAAAATAATAAATTTATAGATTTAAATAAAATACTATATAAAAAATTCCAAATAATCAAATGCTATATTCCTGTGTTAATTTAAATTTCTTTGGGAAATGCATATAATCCAAAGATGCTTCCAAACTACAATACAAACCAATTGTTCTCTTACAAAAGCAAGTCAACTGCACCAATGCAGATAATCATTTTACATAGAAACCAACACATTTTGTTTCCTTCCAATAAAGCCTGCTTTAAAAACACGAGGGTGTGTGTGATTTCTCAATGACATGCATGGACCATTATGTTATCCACAACATGACAATTTACACTCAATATAATAATCAACAATTTTATTTTATAACAGTCAGCATTACTGCACTTTTCTCATTGCCTTTTAATTTCCAGAGTCTTGGAGATATATATCACATTTATTTGAATAGTTGGCTCTCAACCGAGAGACTTGGGCACAAGTGCCTGCAACAAAAAGGCTTTTTAGGACTAATGAATAAGAAACTTTTATTTAATTAATTTTGTTTGTACAATTCAACTGAAATCCGTTGTAGTCTAGTTGGTTAGGATACTCGGCTCTCACCCGAGAGACCCGGGTTCGAGTCCCGGCAACGGAAATTTTTATTGGGGCCCTATTATAAACTTCTAGAAAAGCCCAACAAATGAACCCGTAAATAATGGCCCGAGAGACCCGGGTTCGAGTCCCTGCAAAGGAAATTTTTTTATTGGGCCCCCAATTATAAACTTCTAGAAAAGCCCAACAAATGAACCCGTAAATAATGGCCCAAAAACAAGCCCTAAAAAGGAATTCCCCGGGCAATTTTCCGGCCCAAATAGTAACCCGCCGGCGGCGGGTAACATGAATCATCCCAACCGTCTCCAAATTCCAAATTCCAAATTCCAAATAGGAGGCTGCGGTTATGAGACGAGCGAACATGGAGAAGGTGAAAGAGTTCCTGGAACTGAGTGAGGAAGAATCGGAGATAGTCTCAAGGCTGAAAATTCACCCTAACCGAGTCGGCCATGAGCCGAGTTTCTACGAAGATTTTGTTTTGCGGGGAATCCGAGTTGACCGGGTGGAGCCTGGCTTCGTCTCCTGCACTTTCAAGGTCCCTCCTCGACTCACCGTAAGTTTTCTCAAATCTTCTCGTGAAAATTCCATGCAAGAGTGAAATTCTTGGCATTGGGATGGTACAGGATGTGTGTAATTTTTGGATTTTGTTGGTTGCAGGATAGTAGTGGAAACCTAGCTACTGGTGCTGTTGCAAACCTTGTAGATGAAGTTGGTGGGGCTGTGGTTCATGTCGACGGTCTTCCCATGAATGTTTCAGTGGACATGTCGATCTCATTTCTTGGAACTGCAAAGCTTAATGTAAGTTTTTGCTTCTTGGTGTGTCAGGATGCCTAAATTTTCATTCATCTAAACTCGATAATTTGCATCAGTTTTCATTTATGGTGGGGTTTTTAACTTTTTAATAGAAATTGATAGATGTTGAGTCTAAGATTTTGGGTTAGCAATATGATTATGATACCTAGGTGGTAATTCTGCACTGCAGGATGAGTTAGAGATTACCTCGAGGATTTTGGGACAGAGAGGGGGATATTCAGGAACAATTGTTCTTGTTAAAATTAAAGCAACTGGAGAGTTAATTGCAGAAGGCCGGCATTCATTGTTTGGCAGACATGCTAGTAAACTCTAGTTCCATTCCATCTTCCTGCATGAATTTGATCTTGCAGAAGCCTCAACGGTGCTGGTGGAACTTGGAAATTGAACTACTCTTCGTTAATTAGTTTTCCTGTATCTAAAAAAGTGTATTTGGTGACTTTTGAGATAAATAAAGATTCAGCATGTCATAGTTGCCATTATACTAACCTAAATCTTCCATTGTTTACTTTTTCTAATCTTATTACTGTTTGTTTTGTTAATCTTGACAAATATCATTTTCTTTTCATAAAAAGGAAAAGGTATACTTGCAACTTTGCAAGCCATTTAGGTTTTGTGTTTTCTACCCTCTATTTTTTGAATAACATGGATATCCGGACTTTTAACCTGACTAATCCCAGTGGAACAATTAGTAATAGCCTTCAAAAATGGTTTGTGTAATTCAGAAGAAAAAAAAATGCTAATCTAGAAACCCGACTAATCTGGTTGGTTCTCATCTTGTTCCAGTACCAATGGAAGACTTCCTTTTTATCTACTTTATTGCTTCAGAAATGACCCAACTAATGAAACCCTTCCCTCAAATAGTAAAATGGATTCATTCAAGGAAATTCTGTTCGACGCGAATCACCAGGCCCATTGCAACCCGGCTGTGCTGCCTGTCCCTGGAAATATTTCAGCAATGACTGACAGAAACTGAGAGAAGTCAACATGGAGAAGATGAAAGAATTCCTATAACTGAGTAAGGAAGAGTCGGAGAGCGTGTCACAATTCATGATTGACCCTCAACGACCCGGTTAGGAGCCGAACTTCTACCAAGATTTTGCCTGGCGGGGCATCCGAGTTGCAATGGTTCAGCCTGAACTCGTCTTCTGCTTTCTCAAGGTCCCTCCTCGCCTCACCGTAAGTCATCGGAAACCTCCTGGCTAACGTTGCTCCTGAAAACCTCATCGATGAAGTTGTACTACTTCCAGAGCTTCCATTATTACTTTTTAATTCATACTTTTGTTGTCCTGCATTTGTCTTCGAGGTAGTATTTTCCAGTATAATTGCTTACACGACTTAATTGACGAATTGCATGATTTGGAAAGGTAAGATCTTTACAACAATTACAGTAACTGAGCAGAATTTCCTGGTTTTTATGCCCTTTGGAGAAGCAATCTGAAATTGAAACCATCCAATTATATTTGAGTATGTATGTGACATCTTGTGGGTTATCTTTTTCCACTTGCATTTTATTTTTCATACAATAGAAAAAGCAACAATAACTTTATATATTTCATACATTAATGATGGAAATGGTACTCCTTAAGCAGATGGAATCATGGAAGGTATTTTGGCCATTTGCAGTTGCTTCGGCAAAGCAAAGTTGGGAGTTAATGTAGGTTCAGCGAAGTGTCCCCACTGGTGTTTTATATGTGTACCACTTAGCAATCAAGATAAAAACGCCTAAATTCAGCACACTCAGCACTGTCAAGAGCCAGAAGAAGTAATGGAGGTGGCCATAGTTTAAGTTGTCAGGTATCCATCCTACCTTTCCATTCCTGGTGCTCACACTAGTAACAATAGTCACAAGAAGAGAGCTTAGGTAGTTTCCAAGTGCAACAGTGGTGAGTTGCAGAGCAGAGCAGAAGCTTCTCATGGCATCAGGTGCTTGCTCATAGAAAAATTCCAGCTGTCCGATGAAGGTAAAAACCTCTGCGCACCCTATGAGAAAGTATTGTGGGACTTGCCAAAATATGGACATGGGCATTTCCTTGAGTTCGTAGTAGTTATGCCTTCTAACTTCTCGGAGCCTGACTAGCTCCAAAATTGCAGCAGCAACCATGGAAAATATGGATATGAAGAGACCGATGCCGATCCGCTGTAGTTGAGTTATGCCACTCTTGTGACCTGTGAATTTTCTTGCCACCGGAACTATGATTCGGTCATAGACAGGGATCCAGAAGATGACGCTAAGGGTGTCAAAGATGGAAAGTGATGCTGCTGGGATGCTGAAGGTAGATTTACCAACATGAGTGTCCATTCTTTCACCTTGCAACACAAATAAGCTGCCCATCTGACTGTACACAGTCGCGAAGATGATCCCAGTGGCCCATATGGGAAGCAGTCGAATGATAGTTTTTAGCTCCTCAACTTGTGTAACTGTGCAGAGTCTCCATGGGCTCAGTGAGCCCCTTATGTAGTCCGATTGAGTCTGTACAGCTGCCTTGTCAAAGAAACTGAAGATTACAGCCACAGGTAAGGAACTTGGAATTTTTTTTTTTCAGAGTACGAGAAACTTGGAAATTTAATCGGTGAAGAGTATTGACAGAAAGGTTGGTTTTACTCTTATAGAAACTTTAGTTCAGTTTTAGGCTTTGTACACGCAATGAATTTCATCAAACCATACATAATGTTAATAACTTATCTTGCTGCTCAGATATTTTAGAGACGCTGGTAGATTGACTTGTTCAGAGACCAATAATAAAATTTTGAACTTTAGCTAGAGTTAGGACACTAACCTTAAGTTTTTTGTGTGTTCAATCTTGCGGCTTCCTTTGATATCGGACTCTGCATCTGCAGTTTCATGCAGACGAGACTTATCAATAGGCACTGCAACTCGGTACTT